CGAGCGGCGTACTGCTGTGTGTATGCCTACTTCGCGGCTATTTCGCCGTACAAAGACGAGATCCAAACCTTCGTTTCTGTTTCGCCGTCACCTTGTACTGTACGCGCAATGTGACAATGTGCTTGTTTTGACTTGGCTTGCGTGTACTACGTACATCAACTGTCAGTCTCGCACGTTTTCTATCACATAGGAATCCGCCATCCTCTAATCATCCAGCAATTCAGTTGACCCCGCTTTAAGGACGCTCGCGCTAAAAAGACTCCCCGCTTGAAGGAAACTGTTTTTGCTGAGCACCAGGGGGCCAGGCAGAATGTTGGACAATGGGGTACCCCTTTTGTTCTGCCGCGTACCCCCTTCTTGCGCCCTGCGGGCCGCTCGTTGCACGCACCACGCACCACAGTGAGTGCAGAACTAGCGACGCGCAGACAGCAGAAGTAGCGAGCGGTCTGCTGCTGCAGCTGTAACTGGGTGTTGATACGGATAGATTCCTCCCATCTACCGGCGGTCCATCTGATGCCGTCAAAAAAAAGTCATGCATAACCTCGTCCCTCACCGAGGGCGAGGTTATCACTCGCTTGGAGGACGTTCGATCCTATTTGTACGCGAAGGGAAGGGGTGGCGAGTACCGTGAGACGCAGTACCTTCTTTCGAAGACCATTCATCCGTTTACTCATGAAACTCAACAGAGCCGTAGAGCCAAGCCGCGGGGGGAGGTTCAGGGGACTCTTCGCCATATGTGGAGGGAAAAGCCGTCACGTCACGAAGCTTTCTTTTGTCTCCGCCGGGACAGTGCTATTTACTGGTGTTCCTCGGTGCGACGCTGAAATACGCTCGTTTTTTTTTGTTTATCAAGAATGAGATAAATATATGCTACATGGACGTCCCTCCTTCTTCCGCTGCCGGTTATGCAGTACATTAGTTGTCCAAGTACAAACTGGTGTACTGCTGTAGTTGTTTTCAATACGTCCCCGACTGCTGTACATCTGATTTTCAGTATTGTAAATATGTTCGACGTCAACAAACGGTTGCCAGTCGTCTCGGCGATGCTGACTGTTCGTACCACACCATTCCTTAGCAAAAGACGCGTAGTTTGAGGTATACCATGCCTCCATTGGCCCCGGGGATGGTGAGCTATCGTCCCCTGATTTCTAAGGACGCAACCCCGCCTTAATGACGCTTTTTTCGGGAAAAACCATTTGCGTCCTTAAAGCGGGGTCGACTGCACAGCGCAGTATTCATAGATATGTATGCATAGAACTGCGCGGCCGGCGGCCGGTATTAGGCGAATGACAACAACCTCGATTCCCAGACGAAACAACCAGCAAGATCGTCAGACCACACCGGGATGAGAGGTGAAACTTGAAGACGAAACCATAAGACCTCGGTCTCTCTGTCTCTGTCCAGCTGACTTCAAGGAAGTTGTATCGAGCGCAAGTTGAACATCTTCGTTTTGCTTTCGAGTACTGGCTCTATATATCTGGATTACACTGAGAGGTTCATGGCCTCTTGGCACAAGGGCAAGGAGGAGGCCAGCCGACAACGAGCCATCAAACGAAGAGACAGCGGGCCCAAAAAAAGTCTAGATACGGCACCAATCAACGGGGCGGTAGGGGGGCGGAAGGAAACGGCGCGGCGGGAAGAAAGCAAGCGAGAAGAGACCGACCGCGTGACGTGACATGTTGCGGTCGAATTTCAACGACTAATTTTTCTGTTGCCCTCTCCCCCGTTTGCTGTCGCGTTCAGACTGTCTCTAGGGATATCCCTGTCTCTGTGCGAGTTTGTTTGTGTCCTCGTCTTTGCTTTATTCTGTTTTATTTTGTCTTTTGTTTTTTTTTTTACTGGCACGTACCCCCGCCCCTTCCTTTGGCCGTCGACCTGCCTCCATGTAGTTCTCTGGCTACCCCCCCAGGCTGGTGGTGCGGCCGTTCCAATAGTCTAATTATTTATTTTATTTTATTTGTTTCTGATTATATTTTGTTTTCTTGTATTTTATCGCTCTGCTGACCCTTGGGGTCCATTTTATTTTGGTATACCTTTTCTAGGTACGTTAGCCTGTGACCACGGAAATTGGCCGAGTCAAGTGATGGATTAGTACGGAGAGATTGAGACAGAAGGAGGTACTGGATAGAGAGACCGGGATGGTTTTCAATGTGAAGACAACAACAACACAACAACATTGGCCAACACTTGGCTCGGAAGCTTGCTGGTGTCGAACTCGCGTCAATCAAGTACACACCCATACGACAAACGTGAAGTTTAGCCATACGATGAAGAGCAAAAGAGATTGCTACCACTACTCCCGACAGAGAGCCCTGCTGTAGAGGTGATGCACGCTACCCGCTCGGGTAGGCCACCCGTTAGGTATCTTACCAAGCAAAATGCCGAGAAACAACCGTCAGCAAAAAACGAAAAAAACGACTCATCACGTGGTCTCAAGTACGTGTGTGGAGAGCTGCGGTGACAATATTTCCTTGGTGAACCGAGCTTCTCAGGAGATACTGCCAGCGACAACACAATCTACCAACGTCGACAGATGGGGAGTGGTCATCTCACCGCAGGGCAAGCACATCGGTTTCGAGATACGCTAGCGCCAGGATGACGAAGCTAAGATGACCGCACTGATTGCTCGCGTTGGTTCTCGTCTGGCATCCCATGAACTGCAGCGGCCGACGCTCTTTGACCATGGCGTCTCGCAGCTGCTTCAACACGCTCCCCTCCCCTAACCTTGTTGCCCTCTGCTGAACCTCCTGACCCATCGCTATCGCGCTGAATGGCGCTTCCTTGCGCAGCAAACGGCGTCCACCCGTTGGAGGTTTGGCCATGGAGCAGAACCTGCCATGGAACGGACCTCTTGCTGTGTGCACGAGGCGGCAATCATCGCCCAACCGTCCTCTCCAACGCAAGGCAGCGCCACTGCGGCTACTGCCTTTCAAAGTAGCCCTCCCGCGAGCAACCCTCGCCAAGTTAATCATGGCTCCTATAGGCCAGCTCCCTGCTGCTGCGGAGGACAAGCTAGCGTGCAACGTGCCAGTCTATCACCAAAAGGCTCGGCACTCACACGCTACTGGTCACGCTCTTTTTATTCTCAACTTTCAACCGCGCGAGGTTGAGTCTTGTCTCGAGACAGCGATGTTAATGCTGCTGCCGCTTAGTTCGTGGTGATCCCTATGCTCTGGATGGTTGGTATGGGTGGCAGGGAGCAGTTCCATGTGACCCTCTTAGCTTTGAGGGTAGCGAGAGGATACCGCAAAATTGCTCGTGAAGTGTTTGTGAAGAGAGCCAGAAGAGAGAGACAGCGAGACAGCCAGAATGGAAATTTCGAAAACGGAGATTTCGTAGAACATCGAGGTGAAGCGACGAAGCGCGAAGGGACCCGATTCCCGAAAAAAAACAGGAATAAACCAATACAGAGTGGCGGCTACGGTTTGACATAGGGTCGCACTGGTCAAAATCCAAAATCTCTCTGTTAAATCGGCACTTCTGTTAAACCGTTTTGGCTACGGCTAAACATATTCATATTTCATGTTTAACCGTAGCCAAAACGAAAGGCCATGACACATGGACACACAGTCGTCCCAACGACAGCAGTATGAATGTGCCGTAAGAGTTGATGGAGAGCGTATCATTCATGTCACATAACGCAGGTAGCGCCCGGCCGTTGGGCTAGCTCCAGACACCGCTTGATCTGTTGGTTGGCGAGCAATATGGAACATATATCCGCTCTTGGTAGAAAGTGTTGGGAACTAAATCGCGCTCTTTAGTGTGTGTGTGTTATTATTAGCATCGACCGCGCTAACCGGCTGACCAATAAAATGGCGTCAGTCTTAGTGCGGTTGAAAACACAAAACACTTTTATCTACCATGAACTGGGACCCCGTGAGGGGGCAGCATGGGGTAGGCTAAACTATCCTTCGGATCAACAACAGAAACTGCAGCAACAGAAGAAAACTGCACCCGTCTACCAAGGCTATTACCTAGTACTCGAGTTCGTTTAGGAGTACTTTCACCAGTGTCCTCCTTGTTTTCGCTACCATCATTCTGATCCTCATTTCGACAAGAAGAATCTCTGGGCAGTTCTTCCCTAGCCCTACGTTTCTTGTTGT